AAATTACGTGATCTCAATTTAATTAATTCAAATTGACAGATAATTATAAAAAAAATTATACATTGATTTAAATTGATAAAACAAGGTATCAAATAATTTTAAAAAATTTTAAAAATTTGAATACTTGATTTATGCATTAAGAACTTTTAATTGGATAGTTGGATCATTAAAATTTGATGTTGAACATAAGTTATTGAATGGAGTAAGTCTAATAAATCTTGGTAGACCCACTCTACTCAATAACTCATATTTTACATCAAATTTTAATAATCTAACCGTTAAATTAAAATTTTCTAATATATAGATCAAGTTTACAAACTTAAAAAAAATTAAAAATCATATGACCTTTTATATCTCATATCAAAATTTTGATCCTTTTTAAAAAAAATAGTATAATAAGTTTGGGTCGGTCATTACTCATTATTCCTTTTATTGACTTAATTTAATTCTAATTTATACTTTCTTTGTCTCATAATAAGTATCATTTTAGGTTATTTTACACAAATCAAGAATGAAAACATCTTGTGATTATTCTTCTTTGTTATAAGTAATGTAATACCATATCAACTTTCTAAAGAATGTTATAAATGATATAAATGAAAAAAGGTGATTAATGCTACATAAAAAATTAATATAATATTTATCACATACACATGTGTGTATGCACACACTGAGGCACACGTACACACATCCACACACACATACAGAAAAAGGAAGAAAAAAAACTTACTCTTATCCAGGGACGGATCTAGGTTATGTAGAGTGGGGGCACTTGCCCCCACTACCATTTGATACACACATATTTTTTATTTAAAAAATAATATATTTTAAAAAATAAAAATTATATTTTAATAAAATAAACATATATGTTTAATTTATAGTTTGTATAAAATATAAATTTTGAGGAGATATTCATTTATTTGATGTCTGTCAAACTTTTGAAAAAGATTAATTCTCTTATGTAATAAAGAATATTCTTCAATAACTAATAATTTTTTTTAAAAGTTTAATTATAATATATATATATATATTAATATTCACATATATAATGTAATATGTTAAAAAAAAATTAATTTTTGATAAAATAAAATTTGTAGCATGTATGTTTACCTATTGTGTTTTCTATTTATTATATATGGCGATTAAAAAAATCAAAATAGTAAGATTATATATGTTGATTAAAAAAATCAAAATAGGAAAGATCGAAAGATTTATGATCTATTTAGATTTTTTATTATAAATTATATTTTAAAATAAATTATCATCTAAAAATATATATTAGATATTAAAAACATGTTTATATCATAAATAAATTAAACTTGGTTTTTATAAAATTTAACATTTATTTTTATATTTTTATTAGTGTTAAATTATTTTAAAGTAGGTCTTTAGGATTATAATTCTAACCAAATATTTGAAAAAATGTTTACGGCAGATAAATTATAATATAATCTAGTTGGACCTAATTATTTTTATTTTTAATTATAATCGTAGATATAAAACCTTGTAAAAAATAATTATATGATATATTTATATTTTTTAAAATTATATGTAAAATTTTTAATACTACAAATATACAAATAAATATTTTCCCCGCTATTATCTAAAATTTCTGGATCCATCACTGACTATAAATATACGAATAAATATTGCTCCCACTATCTAAAATTTCTGGATCCGTCACTACTCTTATCCATCACTCATTTTTTAAGACATATTAATGATAAATGATAAGATCTAGATATGATACTATATCATTATTACTCCACAAATTTTAAGTATAAAAATAAATAAATAAAAATATTAATTAAAAAAAATCAAAATTGAAGGTTAGATTACTTTTTTAGTACACTATTTTTATATAATTTGTTCAATTTAGTTTCTTTTATTATTTAAATAATTAATTTGGTTCCTTAATTTTTTGAAAAAAAATACAAGTTGTCTTTTCTGTCCAATTAGACTACCAACATATTAACTTTTTATGCATGAGACATATTAAAAAAATAATAAATTACATTAACACTATCTTAAGTTTCATGAAACTTTTTATAATCCTACAATGGCCTCTTTTAAATATCTTTTGAAAAATTACATTAGCAATTCTTTTAGATTACTCAATAACTTATGTTATATATTAAATTTTAATGATCTAATAGTTAAATTTAAAGTTCTTTATACATAAATTGCAAATTTTAAAAAAAAAATAAAAGCCATGCATATGATACTTCGTTATATTAATTCAAATCAACGTATAAAATTCTTTTATAGTTATTTGTTAATTTAAATTAATAAAACAAATTATCAAAAAGTTTTTTAATGTTTTGAAAATTTGTAGACTTGATCTATGCATAAGAATTTTTAAATTAACAATTGGATCATTGAAATTTGATGTAAAATAAGTTATTGAGTGAAGTAAGTCCATCAAAACTTACTCTATGAAGAAGGATCAACTTACTTCAATGGTAATTTTTTATATTTACTCCACTCAATAACTCATTCTACATCAAATTTCAAAAATTCAGTCGTTAAATTAAAAGTTATTAATGTAAAGATAGAGTTTACAAGTTTTTAAAAAGTTGAAAACTATTTAATATATCGTTTTATTAATTCAAATTAACGAATAATCATAAAAATATTTTATACGTTGATTTGAATCTATATAATAAAGTATTATATATTTTCAAATTTTTAAAAAAATTATAAACTTAATTTATACATTAAGAACATTTAATTTAACAATTGAATCATTGAAATTTGATATTAAAAAAATGAGTTATTTAATAGAATAAATCTACCAAAATTAACTTTATGAGTAAATGAGCTCTCCCCGTAATCGAAAAGTTAATAGTTATAATTATAATTTATCTTCTGAATCATACTTTCTCAATTTAGAGGAACTAGTCTTCAATTAAAAGTTTACATTAACTATTTTTTTAGTGTAAAAAGGAAATAAATTTTAGATTCTGGCTAACTATTTTAGGAAACCTACAAGTGAAATAATTTCTACACAAAAACAAGGTTAATAGATATGTGGGCCGTTTTATAGGTTTGTTTGTTTAACCAACTTTAAAGGAGCTTCTTAAGTATTGACTCGTTTAAATAATGCATTTATGAGTTAGTCTCCATTTGACTGCAGACTTTTGTGGTCTAGTCCAAACCACATACTTAATATACCAGTAATAGATCTGGTTCACAATTGAATAGGTCACAACAACTGTTTTGCCCATAACGAGTACTACTATTGCTCTAATACTAGTCATAGATCAAGTCTTGCAAAGAACCACTTTCATAATTTTTTGGTATGCAATAGGTTCAATAGTTTAAATTTGGTTCTTAGACTATTGCAAGCTTAACCACACCAAACATAAGTGGAATGCACGGTTGAATCAATCAAATCATGGGATCCGGTCTTAATTTTTCAACATTGCTTTTACTGTATTCAATTTTCACTACCTTGGACCTCACAGTGCTTTTTCATGGATCATCCTCTATAACTGTGGGCATCATGCATTGAAGCTCAATTGCAAGCCCAAGTCCATCTCAAACCACCCCCACGGTTAATTTTATAATAAATAAATGAGATAGATTACACTTTATGCTTTATAGTTTTATATTTTCTTAACTTACCTTTCATAAACTTCTTTTATATTACTAAATTCATCTTAAAGTGAACAATATTAAAATTCACTTTTTGACATAATTGAATTATAATTTTAATCTTATTGAACGTGAGTTTAATTAAAATTGTCGACCTTAAGAGTTTAAGTAATCTCGTTGAGATTCTATAAATTTGAATCATAAATTTATAAGAACTTACTTAATATAAAAAAATATTATAATACTTATAAATAATACAATAATTCAACATTTCAACTCTATATTAAAGTAAAATAGCAAATTATAATATTAAAGTAGCAAATTATGCAAATTTTTATACAAGATACAAGTCATTAAAATAATAAATAAAAAAACTAAGAAAAGACTAATTTTTACTTTTAACAATAGAAGAGATAAGATTGCTCAAAATTGTCCGATATTGCTTGAGATTGGACGACATTGCTTAAGATTGCTAAAAAAAAGCTTACTTCCAAGTTGTACCGGTAGACTGACCAATCTCTTAAACTCGATAATTATTACGAGTTATCACTCGAGATTGCTAATCATGATTTTAGTAATAATTATAACATTTTTAGATAAATCCTCTTTATATATCTAAGTAATAAAGTAAGTCGGAAAATATAAATTACAACAGGATAAACTACTGTGCAATTTATCCTAATAGAGTATTTTAAAACAATAGAAAAGCTAAACACCATGGAGCCTAATTAGAATTCAATCACGAAATAAATAAATTTCAAGAACTTGGTAGCACTCGAATTATGGCTTTGCAGAATTTTAATTTATTTTCTAGTGTTGTTTGTTCAAACTATTTCATCGCTAAAAAGGTAAAACTTAATCTCTCAAAATTAAAAAAATTAAAATAAAATAAAATAAAAACATTTATGATTCGATCAAATATTTAACCAACTTAAAAGTCAAAAATATCTCTTCATATATACTGGACATCATTCTGTATTTGTTCATCTAAACATTTATTTTAACCATAAGTTAATGATTGTTCATAAGAACAAACTTGTTTATAAATTCATGTACGATAAGTCAACAACCTGTACTAATATATTAACAAGACAGGTTTCAATTTTATTTAAATCTACAACTTTTTATAATTACTATACATAGAAGTCCCAACTCTTCATTTTTATCATGATATATAGAAATTTTGACTGGGTTAGTTAAAGAGGTAACAATCGCATGTTGATTGTTCAAAAGTGAGATTTTCATGTAGAAGAATCAGCTCATTTCAAGAAGAAGAAAAATCTAAGTTGAAATGAGGAAATAGAAGTGAGAGAAGAAATTATTTTATGTGACATTTCTACGCGACCTTATTAAGTGGAAAGTGATTGGGACACTAGACTTTAACCATAACTCAAATATTTAACAGGATTTCACCAATTTAATGTCGGTATCTCTCTTATATATGACCCTACTCTTATGTGACAATCTCGCACGAAACAATCTATTTCCAATTCCCATACAGTGAGACAAATAAAAATTCAAATAAAATCTACCAAAAAAGATTAAAATCAATCAACCAATCAATGCTCAGGGAGTTTACGAAAACTAGAATATATCCATATTTCTCCGATAGTGTAACTTATGTACACACACAAGGGCATTGAACTCGGATGAGATTTCTAAAAAGGCACTCATCATGCTTGAACATCACTTGCCTTCACAAATCTCCCTCTCACTCTCTTTCTAGTATCAGCCCTGGCCTTCCTTGATTCATAGCGAATTTTCTTATCATACCTGTGTAAAGTTTGAAATAGATACTTTATTTTTAAAAGATACAATGTGCTTCTCAAAGAGTCTGTATATATTCACTTGCATTTGCCAAATGTGTGAAAATATTGAAGGGATTAACTTTTATGCATTATTAATATAAACAAATTTATAATATCAATCGAATAGAAATCATGATAGACATGACTTTTAAAAAAGTTTTATTAAAGTCAACTAGCATAGCATATATATGAATTTGTGATTGAATGACCTGGAAGAATCTTTTACGGTGTCACTGCCTACACTATTTGCTCAAGAGGAATGATAGCAACACTAAATCTAACACTATAATTACCTGTAATTTATTGAAAATCACTAATTTTGTGTTTCGTATCTAATGTAGTGGTACTACATATACTATTTGCTCAATATTAAAAAGAAATATACCTTCGAGTTTTCTTCTTCTCCTTATAGCGCAACATGGCATCCCCTCTATTCTTAGCCAACTCTTCCAAACTAACCCTGGCTTTTAAGGTGCTGAAACATTCATTCCCACCGACAAGATGCTCCATGGCTACAACATTGTTGGTGCCACTGTACGGTATGGATTCAAACAATTTGGACTCCGATGATAACCCACCTTTAGCTCTCTTGCTTTCTTCTTTCTTCTTTTCATGGCTTGATGATGATTGATCCGATTGATTCTGCAAATTTTGCAGAGATTAATGGTTTATTATTTACTGCAGATAAAAGTTAAAAACCAAGCATGAAATAGAAAATATCAGACAAATAATGAATGAGATAAAGGCCAAATCATATGGGAACTATTTAACTGCAATCATTGAATAACAGTTCATAACACAATAAATTGTAGAAAATTGCCCATATGAAACATGGAGATAGTGCCATAGTGGTTATCACATACTATGATATACTCTCCGCATCATCTCACTTGAGATTCTGAGAATGAGAAGTATGATTATATCTGCGGCCTTTAGATGATATGGATGCAGCTGTTAAGGTTTAACTTCAATTGAAGTTGGAAGACTCTCTGCATCTTTAGCAATCTTCTGTCCTCTATTGTCCCTCCCCATGTGGACTCTGTACACTAAATCAAAGCTATGAAGGCCCACAATTTTGTCAGTATGCTCAGATTCAAAGCTACTAACCCACTTCTTCTGCAACTTTATTTTTCAACATTGATTTCTTATAAAAAAAAGTTTTAAAAAAAATCAAAAAAAAATCCACAGGCTCATTATAATTAAGGTGTGTCAGAACCTCATATTTCTCAAAATGATTGGAAGACAAAGAACCCTATAGAGCATTTGCATACTCCATCAACCTCCTAAGAGAGCCTTAGTCAATGAGACAACGATAAACAGTCACTGTACCTTAGAATCACCCATTCAAAACCATTTCACACACTCCCACAAACAGTTGCAATCCAATACCTCTGACTTTACAAGTGACAAGTAGCAGACTATAACTTCTATGCCTATAATTTGTAAATCGATGTTAAACCAGAAAGATCCTCTAACCCAAGTGAATTAGTTTTACTCCAGTGCCAGAGTCAGTAACTGACATCACATTAACATGGCAAAATTTGAAAATCAATAAACCATTAACCACAAATAATGGCTTACATTTCTTGATAGAAGATCATCGCCAATTGTCGAGTAATTCATATTGTGCACGTCCTGAAATGCCTTTGGAACTTCAAGACCATCAAATGTCACCACTCCCGGCTCGCCACAATCTCTTGATTCCTGCAATTGAAAATCCCACACCTGCAAGGAAGAAAAGAAAAATAAGCACCAATTATTGCATACAGTCCACGTCTAAGCCAACTTTGCCAAATTTAAACGTGTCAGAACGTTGGTTGAACCAGTACACCATAATAAATTCAATTGAAACAGGCGTTATATAAACCGGCCAAACTTAGAAACAAAGATAAATAAAAACCCAAAAAAACAAACACAAGAAAAACGGAAAAAGTACTTTCAATTTCAAGTGTGCCTTAACAAAAAAAAAAAAAAAAAACATTTTTTTCAGTTTACTGAAAACAAAAATAATTATTCTCAGAGAAAATCATTTCCCAGACAGGAAAAATGTAATCGCGAAAAGGAATCTGTTCATGCCCACTTAGATTTTCTCAATCAAATGAACGTAAAATGAAAACGGAAGCAAAATCGTTAATGCAAGAAGGTTTAGAATTAAAAGAAGCTGCACCATTCAACGATAAACAACGCAACCTTCCACCTCTAAGCTATTAATTATCCACCCACATTGCAATCAAACTTAATAATCACATCACAGACTTTAGTTGTTATTAATTAGATTCAATTCTCCTAAAGTAGACATGCTCAGGTACTCCAAAACCATAAAATGTGAATGATCCCAACCAATTATTAGATAATTCAAAACCATCAAGAATACCACAAAACAATAAAACAATAATTACATTTGATTGATTACATGTGTCATGTGATGTGATGTAAAGAATAATTAACCTAATAATAATAATTTCTCCTACTAAAGGGGTCTAACTCATAGTAGTAATTCATTTTCATTCAAATTTGGAAGGCAAATTGCGAACCTGAGGAGGCTGATACGCGGGGTTATAATTCCAGAGAAGATCCCCAGCTTCGGTTCCGTAACCGTCATCGCTACTCTTGGCGGCGTGAGGGTCCGATTCGGAATTGGGCAACATGAGGAAGGGCGTGAAGGGCGTGCAGTGGTGGTGCAGCGGGGCGTCGTGAACGGCGTCGTTTTGAGAGTGGAGCTCCAATTGAGGAGTCTCGTTCCTCGGGCGCGCGATTTCGGCGAGCTGGCGGTAGAGCTCGTCCTTAGCGTGGGAGAGGAGGCGGAGCGCGGAGGCGATCTGGGAGACGGAGGGGGAGCCGGAGAGGGCGTGGGGGCAGTGGGGGTGGCACGTGTCGGAAATGGGGTAGCGCACGTGCTTGAGGGAGAGGGCGTTGGCGGCGTGGACGTGGTGGTCGCATGGCAAGCAGAGTTTGGCGGCGTCGGGCTTGCAGAAGAGAAGGGCGGGTCTGGAGTGGCAGTAGTCGCAGGGGAACATGGTTTGGGGTAGAGAGTAGAGAGTAGAGAGTAGAGAGTAGAGACTAGAGATGGGTTTAGTGTTGGAAAGTGAAAGTGAAAGAGCACATGATAAGCATGGGGAAAGGTGGAAGAGATATTTGGGGGAAGAAGAAGACACTGCCTGTGCGCTGTGCCTCTCTCTGCTTACTGCATGTGCGCTCTCTCTTTTCCTGTGCAAATTTCATGCTCTTTTGCTTACCAGGATCGGTACCTGTCAGATATTTTCCACTTGGGCCTCATCCCAACAAACCAGCCCATTTATTTTCTTTCATCAATATGCAAATCTTTTTCTGAAATATTATTTTTAAACAAAATTATAGAAATGGACCCCCATAATTTATTTACCAAAGTACAACCTTTCATTGTGCAGGTTTAGAATTTGGTCTCCGAGAAACCGAATTCTGACCTACTGGTGGTGTTCCGGTTTCATTTTTTGACTACCTAGGAAAGTCGTATTCCGAGCAGCCTTTACCTTTTTTTCATTTTTATTAAATTGATTTTTTTAAAAAGAATTTATAGTTTTACAAATTAATTTGACTCAACATGGTCGAGAGCCTTAGTGACTTATAACTCATTTGGCGTAATATAAGAACTTGCTTACTTATTCAGCATCCCTCGCCTACTCTTTTTAGCCTCAGTCTTATATTAGACAAATTAGTCATAAATCCTAAGGATCGAAAATACTCGATCAATGGATCATAGCGTTCTGTTGTACAAGATCCTCTCAAGGAGGCGAGTACAGAGCATACTTGCTTCCAGCATAACACTGAGACCATAATGCTATCATAGATTCAAGGGCTTTCGAAAGAGAGAAAGAGAAAAGTTTAGAAATCCATGAGTAGAGAAATACACAAGGGTTTTATTGCAAACTCGACTTGGTTACAAACTGAGAAATTTCCTCCTTATATAGACTCGAAGGGGATCTCATGTGACTTACCAAACGAAAAACATTTTACACATGGGCCAATTCTAATTGGCTGACTAAAAGATAAATACAGTAAAGGACCCTCGTGGGGTGTGACTCAAACAACCAGACAAACTATTATGACTCAGTCGATAAGAACGAGTACAAACAAAGGACTATCTTACACACTTATTACAGACATGGTGGCAGACAGTACGTAAAATAAATCCCTATTATTAGCCTCTTTTGATGATGGGCTCGTGACTTGGAGAGAGATTCGGATCTGATGCATCTGAATCGGAACAGCTGTCTATCATTAATTCAGCATAGTAACGATCTTCGTCGTTTTCTCCTAGATCATCAGCTGTCTGGAACTGTTCATCAGGCATGTAGTATTCAGTCTTGCTCATAAAAGTGTTGATACCCTGATGGCTTGTCTGAGAAGGGATTAGACGACTGTGTGATGAGCTGGCTACATCTTGGCTCCTTTTTTGGATCTTCACTTCCTTGAGATGGTTGATCAATTGTGTCCTATAACTTTGATCTGGAGGATATGTTTCAAAGGTTCCCCAGAAATAAGCTTCATTCTTGGACCACAGTTGTCCTGTTGGTTTCTAGAAATAAGGACGACTGATAATGGCTATGGAAGTTAAAAACTCGCACTGTTTTTTGGTCTTTCTCATTTGATTCCTTTGAAAATCAAGAACCTTTTTTAACTCACTTCTCCACCATGGGAGAGGCGAAAACCATTCTAATAAAGTCCAGAATAAAAATTCTGCCTTATCTGGATTTATCAGAATATTATAAGCTGATTGTGTCTTCAGGGAAATTGCAATTGGATTTTGGACAGTTTTACACCATATAGCCCAAAGAGTTGGTTCACACAAATCCCACCCAATTTCACAGAATAACTCAAAGATTCCAGGATGGTCTTCTGTAGGATCAAACATGGATGGAGGGACGATTTTAAACTTTAAAGTCTCATGAAGATAATAAAAATATTGGGATTTAGAAAATTGGATAATCTCTTTAGGACTTTTTGGTTCTAAACCAGGGGGGTATAGCTTTCTTGTTTTTGCAGTATCAGAAAGTGGTTTTACCATGAAGATTAGTGGAAAGTTATAGGTAGATGATATGATTAGAACTGGGTTCTGAGGTCTCGAAAGAAAATCAGGAATGAGGTTGTGCTTTCCTTTAATATGTTTAACAGTGAAATCATACCTGGAAAACCAATCTTTTAACCTTAGGATCTGAGGTTCAGGTGGTAGTTTGTTCTTGAAATCCAAGATTTTTGGAAATGAGGAATTGTCCATCTGGACTTCAAAATGATGTCCTCACAAATGAAAATCAAACTTCTTGATCCCATTTTTCACAGCCAAAGCTTCCTTGTAGGTCGTGTGATAATGCTTTTCTGCTTCTTTGAATTGTCAACTAGCATGTCCACAATAAAATTTCTTTCCTTGTACTTTTTCAATGAAGACGGCACCCCAGTAATGATCACTTGCGTCTGTTTGGAGAATTCTTTTTCCATCTCCTAGGATTTTTAATGCCAGAGGATCCTGTGCGATCTTTTTTATTTCTTTGACAGCCTGGGTTTGTTCTGGTCCCCATGGAGGGGGATCTTTCTTCAGCATTGTTGAGAGAGGACTAGTATATCTAGCAACCTTGGGAATGAAATCCCGAATGTAGTTTATGATTCCAAGGAATTGTTGAATTTGTTTGACAGTCAGATTTTCTTCAGGAAAATTGAGTAACTCTTCAGCAATGTGGGGTTGAGGCTGGTAAGTCGTTTGAGAGAACTTCATCCCCAAGAAGTCAATTTCCTATTGGGCTAGTTGTATCTTCTTTTCTGAGAACATGATTCCATATAGATTTGCTCTTTCCAGGAATTGGTTCAGAAGCTTTTCGTGGCTCTCCATATCTTTGGAAAATAAGAGAATATCATCTATGTAGATGATAGCATTGTCTAGGGGAGGTTCAAGTATTTTTGTTATTGCCTTTTGAAACAGCGAAGGTGCTACCTTCAAGCCGAAAGGTAGAACTTTCCATTGATACTGTGCATTGGGTATGCAAAAAGTTGTCTTGTGTCTTTCACTGGGTTCAACTCCTAACTGCCAGAATCCCGATTTGAGATCAAATTTAGAGAAGATTTGATGGAGTTGTTCCTTCCATGGGTGATGACAAAGGTTGAAAGGAGACTCCTTGCCCTTGATCTAGGCTCACCAAAGGGTAGAGAAAAGGATGACTTTGATGGGAAGGGAAGATAGGCGTGAGGTATAGATAGTTGGCGGAAGTGTTTAGGGTTAAGGTGTTTGGTGCTCACAAGGTTGGCTCACTCCAAAGGTAAATGGAGGCCACTCTAGGGTTCTCACTCTCCAAGGGTGGAGATAGGAGAAGGTTAGCCAAAGTTAACCTAGTGACTAAGGAGAAGATTTGAGGCACAAAAAGGCTCACTCAAATTCATATATTCCAAAGTATTTACAAGTGGTGGGGTGTTGGGTATTTATAGGAGGGGAGACATCTAGGGTTTCATTTGGGACATGCATGGCCGAAATTCATAAGGCAAATGCACTCCAAATGACATGCCAAATGAACCCTAGATGCTACTTGGTGACCAAGTTTGGAATCTATGGGTCTAGATTGGCTACATCAAGGTGCATGATAAGACCATGCAACCTTTGCCCTCCACTTGGGCCTAAGCCTTTCTATCACCAAAAATAGATCCAAAGCTCACCAATAATGCGTCATCCTTCTAGTGTAATACCCTAGCCCAAATTAAAAACCTAATCATCTAAAGCACCCCATAATACAAGGGTAAAATGGGAAATACAAGAAAAATAAATCCTATGACTAAAATTCCCCAAAATACAAGGGTAAAATTGGCAACTAAAATAAACCCTATATTAATGAGGCTTAGGAGAGAACTAATACTCTATGATCATGAGGAGAGTATCCCTTGGTGTGTGAACACCCTCCTCCTCTTCAACTCTCCTAGCCATGGACCTAGTGATGGGGCCCACATGTGTCTTCAAGGATGGTCCTCCATCAAGATTTTGGACTCCTTTAGTAAGATAGGCAGGGAGGATGTCTTGGGTAGAGGAAACTTGTCATCCTTCAAGAAATGATTGAGGGGTTTGTAGTCGATGACCAATCTTTTCTTTCCTCTAAGTACTTCTGATCTTTTTTTAACATAGAAGGCTTGGCATGCCCAGTTTGATTTTGTGTGCTCTATGAGACCTTGTCTAAGCAATTCCTGGCATTCATGCCTGGCTAACCTGAGATCAGATGGAGACATTCCTAGATAGGTTTCTTTTGTAGGGTTTACATCTTCATTCAGCTTCAATGGCAATTGTATGAAGAAATCAGGATTTTTCCAGAGTGGATTTGGATGAGAGAAATTCTCATGACTATCAGAACACAAGGATCTTAACTGTATCTTGATTTCTTCCAATTCTGGTGGAACTTCTAAGAGAGAATACAGCTTGCTGGTTGGCACAAAAGGTTTAAATTCTCCTTTGAATTTGATCCCAGTTGGTTGAATTAAGAGTTTGTGCGCTTGACTGAAGACATCCATTCCAATTAGGATATCTTTGTTGGGCAACTTGGTCCCAACAACTTTGGACCAAATTATGCATTCTTTAAAGAGCCGAATACCTACTGGTGCTCGTGAAATGACTTTTGTTTTGAAGGTCTTTCCATCAGCCGCTATGAAGTAGGTATCTTCTTTTCTCCAACAATGAGGTGGCAAGATTTTTGGGTTCATCATAGTCTTATGTGCCTCTGTGTCAAGAAAACCTATGACTTTGATAGGCTTCTCATACTTGGATGGCAGGATTTCAATCTCCAAGTTGGGGTGTGAAGGAACAACAGTTGTCATATTATCAAATTGATCAACAGCGAAGATCGAAACTAGTTCTTCCTCTTGACTATCTGAATCACTACTAGAATCTTCTGAGAAAGAATCTTGTAATGCGAATGTAGTATTTTCATCTGTAGGGCTTTGTTCTGAGTAGAGGGATTCTACTTCATCCCTGTCATTTAGGTGTAGAGATGTAATCATCTTTATGTCTTTTTGAGCTTTGTTTGGACAGGATTTAGCAAAATGTCCCTTTTTGCCACAGATGTAACATCTTTGACTTGGGTTTTTCCCTCGAGTTTCTTTCTTCCTAAAAAACCTATAAGGTTTTTTATGCTTCTTCTTCTTGAAGTGGGATTTGAATTTCTTGCCTTTGAATGTTTTCTTTGAACAGTGGCATCTATCTTTGTCTTTGCATTTAA